GGTGATTTAGTAGTTGGATTTGACAAGAAATAGTGAACAGACGAAAGAACCGGAAAATCCCGAAAGAAAATGCAACTAAAATTATTTACATTGCATACAAAGCTTTACTAAATGTACATGCAAAAACCACAATGGAAAAGCAATCAAAGCCACCCTTACAAGGTCAAGGAAATTCTAGTTTTACATTCAGAATAAACAGCACCATGGTCCTTTCTCTATTCGAACATTTGTTTGAAAGGAGTTTCTAACTCACGCAGTTTTTGAGAGTAAACTGTGCAAGAAGTAAACAAAACCTAAAGGTAATAACCCAAAAAATTTGTGACTAAATCGCTTTGGGTTTTTTTTCATTGTGGTGCTAAGATAAAAAGGAAAAAGAGACTTAAAACGACACAATACTTTTCGATGTAAGCATGACGTTTTCCTACCGTGTAAAGGATACTGTATGGAGAAAATGACCGAGCTGATCACAGTGCCCAAGGCCAGCTGTTTGCCCAGACAGTCCACGCCCACCAGACTCACGGCCAGAGGAGAGTTGAGCGTCAAACTGGAAAGTCCAACAGCTCCGAACATCACTGCCAGGAAGACGAGAGCCCCAAAAGAAGTATAGAAAGCAGCAAACTGGCACACGACACCCATGGTAACGGCCGAGAAGGCTACTATGTTGGCGTGTTTCACGAATCCTGTATCGGCGAAAAACCCTAGGCCGATCCTTGTGATGACGTCCACGACACCGATAATGGTGAGCAACAGCGCTGCTTTAGACTCAGATAACCCGACCGTGACCGCGTAAGAAGACAGGTAGACACTGACGAAGATGCAGGAATAGTTGAAGGTGAAACTGATGAGGTGGAGGCGCGACATGTAGTTTCTCAACAGAGACACGTCCACGACTGACGTGAAGACTGATTTACAAAATTTACAAAAGGTTGATTCAGATTGATGAGTTGATTGTACATGCACATCCAGCGTTTGAGAATTTCTGACACCACCACAGTTTCCGGCAGATGATGTCACCGCCAAGTCAAAAGTACTCGTTTGGTGCGAGGTAATGGACTGTTTATTTTTCTGACGCTCTTCTTTCATTGATTTTGTCCTTATGGTTGAACTATTTTCTGTGTGATGAAACGTATCTATATCAATTGCAACCGCTGTGTCTTCATTTTCCATCGAGTGCAAAGGTGTGTACTTTTCACTCAATGGTTTCAACTCTGTTCCAGATGTTGGTCTCGAGTCACAATCCTCTAAATCGTTCCTGTCAGACAGCATTACTTCTTGCTCTCCCGCCCCGTGAGACTGAAGCAATGAAGCATTTCCTTCATGCTTCTCGCCATAAAGCTCTGTTTTCGCATTTTCTTTGATCTTGAAATTATCATTAGCAAATGTAATTGTATGTTGACTTCCAGATTTTTTCTTGTAGTAGTCTAGTGGCCTCAGAAGAAGAGAAGAAACGATGGCGTTCAGCTGAAAAAAAATTTTTTCCCGAAGGAATGGGAAAGGGTAGGGGGTATAGACTGGTAATTGAGAGCATATTAGAAGACAAAGAATGGTCATGTACTTATGCACATTGCTAAACGGCCTTCATTCGACATTAAAACTTAAAACCATGTGGTGCAGAGAGTAACAGTTGACCATTTACTCACCAGTCTTTGCAAAGAGGCTTTGGGACCTTAAGATTCTTCTTGTATTCAACCGTCTGAAAACCAATGAGGAGGGCATTGTGTGCGTAACATCCATTTTCCTGTACTTGTATTTAACTTGTGAAATTTACAACGTGTAGTTTCTTTAGTTGTTAATGATACGATCACGAGCTAGAGTGTAAATAATATAATGCCTTATATCAGCACAGTGACATGTTAAGTATAAGGACGCTAAAAGAATAGCAGAATGATTATGATGACGACGATGATTATGATCACGAAAGGCTATTGCGTATTTAGTGATTAGGGTGATTACTGGTGGTAACGATGGTGAGATCTAAAAGTGAAAGGGATTATATAT